GCACACCAATTTACACCTTCTGCAAATCCTGGAGGGGTAGAGGAATTGCTGTTGTGGGAAGGACTAGATTTAACTGCAAATGGAATATGTATTATTGCAGTTTTGTTTTTGACATTTTTGATATATAGTATATGATTAAAGGTGATTCAAACTGAATATGTGAGGGATATGTAAAATATATAATGATGGATACATCTCCATAATGGGGCATTGTTGTGCTGCCCACAGTCCTATTTTAACTGACTTTCATGACCACAGATGGGCACTTTAGGCCCTGTTCACATCTGAGCAACACTCCCGCACTGTGTTTTTGCATGTTATTGTAGCACACAGATGTCAAACACAAGGCATGTGGGCCAAATCTGGCCCTCCAGGCCATTTCATGTGGCCCCTGCACCTCTCCTGCAGGTACCTCCTTGTCTTTGCCCCCACATTGTCTCAGCAGTCAGCAGCACAGAGGAGAATAGAACTCCTCTGCCAAATCCTGCACCTCTCAGTGCAGCTTCAGCACCCCCTCATCTCTGCTTCCCCTGGTCTCAGCATTCAGACTCTGGTAACTGACTCCACTTCTCCTCTGGTCCTCCTCCAGACCCTGCACTTCCTGCTTTCCAGTTCTGCCCTAGAGGAGGTGCACGGTGATGTTAGGGAGGGTGTGGGATTCTTGACATCTGATGTGATGGGGGGGTGGGGTGTTCTGGACATCTAGTCTTACAGATACAACTGACCCTTTGAGGGCAACAATAATGCTGATGTGGCCCGCGATGAAATGGAGTTTGACACCCCTGTTGTAGCACATGTAGTAGCAGCACCATTAATTTGAATGGGCCTCCCTCCACTCCAAAAATACACCACAGAAGCTTATGTACCAAATTCTGGCACTTAGCCAAATGTGCGTTTCTGCCCCCATTTCCGCTATGCTGGATTACACAAATATACAGAATGACAAAACAGGCACAAAAATAGGAGATGGGGACAGAGCGCTGTCACCCATTAACAGGAAGTGTCTGAACAAGGGAGATTCATGGTAAGATTACCAGGGTTTCATTTTAATAAAAGCTGTAAATTTAAACATACAAAAAAACATGTTTTGAAAATCCATTAACATGTTAAAAAATATATCAAACTTTAGTGATTAGGTTTAGATGTGCTTTATTGGCTGTCTATACCTCAGTTATTAAAACAGCCACAGATAGATTAGCTAGATAGCTTATGCTGAGGTTTGTCAAAAGGAACAAGGAAGATCTTTATATAAAGTACTGTAAAGTATAGTTTACATGTGTCCTTAAAAAACAAGTGTTTACATTTCATTAGGTCCAACATAGATCCAGAAAACAGCGTAGAGGGCGCAGAGATGCCCAAATATTGCACAAATTCACTGCTATTTGCAAACAGCGGTTTTGGAAATTTTGATCCTGATTAATGCAATGTATGGAGCAAATGACTCTATGTTGTGGGGCTTTGGGAGAGACAGTCATTCTATTCTGCCTGTAAATCCAGGCTGAATCTGTGCTATAGACTATCTGTTTAGGATGCATAATTGATCAAGGCGCATTTAATGCAATGCATGATTTGGTATACTCTCCTATAACCTATATATACTGTTTTTTAGTGTACTTAGGAAAACCAACATAGAAAATCTAGAGCAATTTTGTCTAAAATGCAGGTTCCAATATGTAGGATACACTTATGGGAGTATACACTGATCAGCCATAACATTATGACCACCTACCTATTGTTGAGTAGGTTCCCCTTTTGCCACCATAAGAGCCCTGACCCATTGGGGTTTATTTACTAAAGCTGGAGAGTGCAAAATCAGACTCACTTCTGCATAGAAACCAATCAGCTTCCAGGTTTCATTGCCAAAGCTTCATTGAACAAGCTGAGGTTAGAAGCTGATTGGTTTCTATGCAGAAGGGAGTCTGATTTTGGACTCTCCAGCTTTAGTAAATAAACCCCATTGAGTCATTACTCCACTAGACCTGTGAAGGTATGCTGTGCTATCTGCCACCAAGTTGTCAGTAGTAGATCCTTTCAATCCTGTAAGTTGTGAGGTGGGCTTCCATGGATTAGACTTGTTTTTCCATCCCGCAGATGCTCGATTGGATTGAGATCTGGAAAATTTGAAGGCCACTTCAACACCTCAAAGACACCTTCTTCCATTGTTCCATGGTCCAGTTCTGATGTTCATGTGTCCACCATAGGCACTTTGACTGTGAACACGGGTCTGCAGGGGCACCCTGACCAGTCTGAGTCTGGCCAGCCCCATACACAACAAACTGAGATGCACTGTGTGTTCTAACACCCTTCTATTGGCCCCAGCATTAACTGTTGCAGCAGTTTGAGCTATGGTCATTCTTCTTTCAGCTTGGACTACAATGGTCAACCTTTGCTCCTCACATGCATCATTGAGCCTTGGCCATTCATGAGTCTGTCACTGGTTTTCCTTCCTTGGACTACATTCAGTAGTCCCTGATCACTGCAGACCAGGAATATCCCTCAAGAGTTGGAGTTCTTCTGATCCAGTCATCTAGCCCAGCCTTTTTCAACTGGGGTGCTTTTAGATTTCTTCATGTGTCCACCATAGGCACTTTAGCTGTGAACACGGGTCTGCAGGGGCACCCTGACTAGTCTGGGTCTGACCAGCCCCATACACAACAAACTGAGATGCACTGTGTGTTCTAACACACTTCTATTGGCTCCAGCATTAACTGTTGCAGCAGTTTGAGCTATGGTCATTCTTCTTTCAGCTTGGACTAAAATGGTCAACCTTTGCTCCTCACATGCATCATTGAGCCTTGGCCATCCATGACCCTGTCATTGGTTTTCCTTCCTTGGACTACATTCAGTAGTCCCTGATCACTGCAGACCAGGAATATCCCTCAAGAGTTGGAGTTCTTCTGATCCAGTCATCTAGCCCAGCCTTTTTCAGCCGGGGTGCTTTTAGATTTCTTCAGGAATGCCCTGGCACAATGCCAAAAAATCACCCACTACAAGCCAGCAAGTGGATGAAGCCTGCCTTTTAGTTACAAAAAAACCACAGGTTTTCATTGTGCACTATTACAACCTTCCAGCTGCCAACGTCCTAACATCCAAAAATGTCATCAGTCAATAAGGGGCATCTGCACAGTATCCTTGTTTGCCCCTTCTGTGCCCCTCTCCGTCAGCACTGGGGTCATATTAGCTGAGCGAAGGAAAGAAACTGAGAGAGAAGAGAAACATTGGAACATTGTAGAAATTTGCAAAGGTGGAGGAATAATTGGCCTCTAATGTTAGGTGTCCTAAACCTGTGGATGTTGCTGCGTAATGTAAAACTATTAGTTTCATTTTTTACATTTTAGAATAGGGTGCCTTGGGATTTGTGCATAATTTTAAAGGGTCTCTTGACTCACAAGAAGGCTGAAAAAAAACTGGTCTAGCAGTACAATTTGGCCCTTGTCAGAATAGCTCAAATCCTTACGCTTGTCATTTTTTTCTACTTTCAACACATCTTCAGGAAAAACATGTTCACTTGCTGCCTAATATATCCCCCCCCCCCATTTTCAGGTGCCATTGTCACCATGTAAACAATCTTTTTCACTGTACCTGTCAGTGGTAAAAATGTTATGGCTGATCGTTGTATGCATCCTATGATGTTGGCAGGCACTATAGACAGTCTGGGCCATGTATTAACCAGGAAAGCAGCTCATACAGTTCTCCATAAATGTGAAATGAAGGAGTAGCACCAGACATAACAAGTGTGGGGCTCCAATGGAAATAGACATCAAAGCAAAAAAAAAAAAGTAGCCCAAATTGTGCTGGATTACCTAAATTGACTAAAACATCCACATGTTCTTTTATGAGTCTGCACCTGGCCCAATGGCACGAGGCTGTATGTACTGATTCTACCAGTGGACCTTAGAACCCTTCCTCCATGGAGTGGGAGGATCCATTAGAAGATACTGGTTTATCAAAATGGGAGTGTATTACCCCCCTGGAGATATAAATGAAAAAGGACTCTACAATATCTAATACCATATATCAGGTGCTCCTTACAGGAGTATAGTATATTAATACTAATTGCATTATTATTTTAATAGCTTTTTGTTTTTTATTTATACGGCACATAATCTAGAATCCCTTTGCGACCCAACATTCTTATTTAATAGTTTTAAAAATAAAATCCCAAAGGCTATAAAGAGTGGTCAATGCCTACATGCCGTGCCATGAGTAATATTCACAAAGAGGCAATTATAAAGGATCATTTTGTCCGCAGTGCACACATCTCAGGTCTTTGGCACGTCTGTTGCTGCAATATATTTAATGTATTCTGTTATATTCCCACTGATACAATATTTACTGCAAAACAAATGAGCTTGCTTGTGTTTACAAGTGTGCTCTGGATATAAAGAAATGTTTGTCAGCAAAGTCCACAGTACATTCACAGCATTGCAGGTCAAAGGTTAGCAGAAGCGGTCATAGAGAAGATGAATGCAAGCCAGAAAGATTTCCTTACTTTTAACAACAGATCTACAGAGTAGAGTGCATCTAAAGAAAAAAAAAAATAAGATAGAGTGGGTAAGCTCTGAAAAAAAGTGTGTGTGTGTATATACATATATATATATATATATATACATACATACACACACACACACATACACATACATACCCACACACTATATTGCCAATATTGACAAAAGTATTGAACTTTAATGACATCCCAGTCTTAGTCCATAGGGTTCAATATTGAGTTGGCCCCGCCCTTTGCAGCTATAACAGCTTCAACTCTTCTGGGAAGACTGTGCACAAGGTTTAGGAGGGTGTCTATGGGAAGGTTTGACCATTCTTCCAGAAGCACATTTGTGAGGTTAGGAACTGATGTCGGGGGAGGAGGCAGTCTCTGCTCTAATTTATCCCAAAGGTGTTCTATGGGGTTGAGGTCAGGACTCTGTGCAGGCCAATCACGTTCCTCCACCCCAAACTCGCTCATCCATGTCTTTATGGACCTTGCTTTGTGCACTGCCCTAGAGTCCAGTGGCGGTGTGCTTTACGCCATGGCATCCGATGCTTTGCATTGCACTTGGTGACATGAGGCTTGGATGCAGCTGCTCGGCCATGGAAACCCATTCCATGAAGCTCTCTACACACTGTTGTTGTGCTAACCTGAAGGCCACATGAAGTTTGGAGGTCTTTAGCTAATGACTCTGCAGATGGTTGGTGACTTCAGTGCGCTGTGCGCTTCAGCATGCTGAACCCGCTCTGTCATGTGACGTGGCCTACCACTTGGTGGCTGAGTTGCTGTTGTTCCCAGTTGCTTCCACTTTGTTATAATCCCACTAACAGTTGACCGTGGAATATTTAGTAGCCTGGAAATTTCATGCATTGACTTTTCACTGAGCTCCTGAGAGCAACCATTCTTTCACAAATGTTTGTAGAAGCAGTCTGCACGCCTATATGCTTGATTTTATACACCTGTGGCCATGGAGGTGATTGGAACACCTGAATCCAATGATTTGGAGGGCTGGCCCAAAACATTTGGCAATATAGTGTATATAAATAATATTTCTGACAACTATTATTCATGTAATGATAATGTTTCAGCATATGAATTTCTTTTTCATGCGATGTATCTTAGTTAAAGTGGCTGTAAACCCTTACATATTTACAGTAAAGTGATTGGCCTCAAGTGATACACAGCGATGAAACAAATTCCTCTACTTAAGTTGTATCTGTTTAACTGCTGCCCTCTCTCCTCTACATCCACTCAAAGTCCAGAATTTACCCCCACAGGGGGAGGGGGTCTGACATCACATACTGCACAGCTCAGAGAAAAGAGCTGATTGTAATCTGAGACCTGAGTGGAGGGGATGGACACCTCCTCTACACATATCTGCCTATAGGGAAAAATGCACAGCTGAGGCTGCCAATCATCTGCTGTGTTCTTGGATGTGAGGGGCAGGTCGTCTCCCAGGATTGTCTGGCATCAGCATAGCCATAGAATGTCAGAAGTGACTCATGTTGTAAAGCGGCGAGCAAACTGTTGGTGCTATATAAATCCTATATAATAATAATAACAACAACGTAGATAGCAGAGAAATGAGAGAAAAACCACACTAGGTGCTTTGGATGAATGCAGTACACAGTATACACAGATATGCTTTGTTCATGTTTCATTTCAGAGGTTTACAATCACTTTAATATTTTTCTCCACATTAGCCTACAGCCTAAGCTGAACAGCAAGATACAGAGGGTTGAACAAACACTGCTTGACAAAGCTCTATCATTTGCAACAACAGTTTTTTTTAAGGGCGAAAATTAACCATGTAAGTAAAATATGACCACTGAAAAACATAGTTTTTTCAGTAAAGGTGACTTAAAGGTGAAGTTAAGGTTAAAAAAAAAACAAAACTCACCGCTATGGTGCAGCATCGGTGTGATGCTGCAGCTGTCCCTCGTCAGCTCTAAGATGGAGAACTGGGCAATCACATGACCGCTGATTGCTCAGCTCTCAGTCTGCTCAGATTGGAAAGCAGTTACTGTTAGTCACTGGCTCTCCGCTTTGCTCCTTCAATGCTCACTGGAGTGCCAGCCTGGAGAGGGAGAGGGCGCAGCTTGCTCCTGCTCTCACCTGCAAACGGAGAGGCAGAACCAGCTGTCAATCAGGCAGCTGGTAGAATCCAACAATATTGTCGGGATCCTCCAGAGCCTGGAGTTGTTCTGTTACATTAGATGATAACGGGCAATGCCCTGCTCTCAACTTTGCTCATGTTTCTCTTTCAATTATTTTTTCCCATAAAGCTCATAAAAAACTTACGCACTAAATGGTGGTCAAACAAATGAATTTTTTGTCTTTAGTTTTGAAAAGTGAAGGACATACTGCAAGCTTCTGGACTCTGCGGACTATTCTTTAACTTTAATACAGTGATAATTTAAAAGTACTCTATTGACTGCCAATTTACCAGCCCTCACAGATAGAACCTGCACCTTTTTGAGCATTCAGCATTGCAAAAAATCATGTCTAACTTCAGCAGCAAGGTATGCTATTTATGGCCCTTTTCCACTTGGAAGGCTGGCCCAATGCTGAGGAGAGGCCTGCAAAATCATGACCCCTTTAGCTATGGTTACAACAAATTAGCAATATAAAAACAAAACACCAAGTTGGCTAATAGGCCAAAAACAGGACCAAGAAAGTGCATTGGGATAACTTGGGGGGGTTGGGGGGGGGGTGCAATCCTTATTTGCTCTCCAAGAAATAACTTTAGCATTGCTAAAGTCAGGAAGTTCATTGAGATTATCTTTATTATAAATGTATATCATCTGCATGTCATTTTACTGTTTGCCGTAACTCTCACTTTTGCTGCTAGGTAGGATTACAGTTTCTTGTCACTTGACTCTCTGTGAGTCAATAGGAAGACTAGAGAAGGCAGTATTCCGAATACCCATGCAGCATATTTGCCAAGCTCTGCCAATGGTATTCTCAGAACACCATATTTTTGGCAACAAAGTGATTTTAGGCAGTGGGGTGGCATCACAAAAATCAGAATTTCCTTTACAAGTTTGCATCTTGTCTAGGACGTATACAGAGGGTTAATCAATATTCACATGTATTTGACTGTCACAATTACAGATCATCAAGGTGACACCTTAAATTATATTTACGGCTGGATTTCATTACATTCTACCACTTCAAAAGAGCCTCTTACAGCCCCAGCGGAATAGGACAAATTTCTCTCAGAGAATGAGCTACTGTTGAGTTTGTGAGCAGGGCGGAAATTAATCAAGACAGGCTTTCTTTTTAATTTCCCTGTTCATGCTAGAAGAAACATATTTTCACAGCATGTGTACATGTGCCTACACGCACAGCTCCTGAAATCTCATCTGTCACAGGGTGGGAAGTATTAAACTATGGAAGGTGTGAAATATTATATTTCTCAGTTGAAGAGCCAATCCCCTCTTAAGTGGTTCAGGGAGGCGAAGAATTGAGGACCAGAGTTTTCTTAACGTGAGTGATAAAAGAGGTATTCATTTAGAGCCTAACACATGACCACACGAATGCTTAAGTGACAACATACCACAGAGATATACAGTACATTGGATATATACAGACTGAGGAATAATATATGGAAGCTATGTGAAGGTTATGTAAACTTTCTCCAATGCATGTTATTGATCTGGGGCTCAAAGGGGGCCAGCTGAAAAGAACAAGAATGAATACTGTAAGCCCCAATGACAAGACTGGTACTGAGGATTGTTGTCCTGAGAATGAGAGCCCATTGGTGTGGTTTTCAAACTTCAGGCGCTTCAAGTTTTAACCATGTCTGGGGAAAATGTGAAATTCACTGGCTAATTCACTATATATATATATATATATATATATATATATATATATATTACTTATATAGCGCTGGTAATTTATGCAGCGCTTTACATACAAATTGTACATTCACATCAGTCCCTAACCCTCAAGGGGTGTACTATCTAAGGTCCCTAACTCACATTCATACATACACATACTAGGGCCAATTTAGACAGGAGCCAAGTAACCTACCAGCATGTATTTGAAGTGCGGGAGGAAACCAGAATACCAGGAAGAAAACTCACACAAGCACAGGGAGAACATGTAAACTATGTGCAGGTAGTGCCATGGTTGGGATTCACACCAACGACCTAATGCTGCTAGGCAGAAATGCCACTTATCTACTGTGCCACCCAATCTCATGGCAATGATGAGTACTTTTAAGGTCACATTATAGTTCGGGATAACCAACTGGCCCAGTAGGAATACACAGGGAACTTGCTTTCTTACAGACTGCTAGAGAAAGTAAAGATACTGAAGTGGACTGGTAAGATTTCCAAAGACTCCTTTACTTGTTTGCATAATTCTTGTAATTCACAACCAATTGTAAGACCTGCAAAATGGATAACAGGTTTGTATTTGCAGCCTGCCAGTGGAACAGAATTGAGAAGATTGCACATAGCCAGCGGCAAACATATTTCTGACTAGATTTGGGATCTATGGAGAATTTATTAAGACACAAATGGATTTTACCAAAGTCACTACAAAAATTACATTGCAATAAATCTGTGCTCATCCCATGCAGGGTAAAGCAACAGATTCATTTTAATGCTGACCTCTTTTAAGTAAAAAGAAAGCCTGCCAGTAGTAGCTTACACATGGCTATGGATGTGGCTTTGCCGTCTGTCACATGGTAAAGTCACATGTCTCTACATACCTGGACGTAACCATTCATTTCTTCAGCATCCGGCCTTGAATGGAGTGGCGAGGATGCAAAGCATAGGTAAGTATGTGCTATTGGAGGGCTTGAATGAGCTTTAAAGGTTGTGTACAAAAATAGCAAATGGATCATTGGTGTGAAACTGGTTTCTTTATAAAAATACATACACATTACAAATGGGTAGTTGTGTATACTTTCACAACAAACTGGTACATTGGAAAAAATATAGGACTGCTTAATTTCTGTATCTAACACGTTTTTTGAGATTCCTGACTTTGGAACATGTAAAACATTTTTTGAAGCACTGAATAAGAGAACAGGAGGGTGTAATGCCACTCAGGAGTCCAGTGTAAAAACCTGCTGAATGTGGCTGTAATGCATTACTAAAACAGCTCAAACTAATAGTAAGGCTCCTTTGACATGGAGCACAGCCAGTTCCGATCAGCAGCATATCCGCTGCTGAAATGGGGGCTGAACGGGAGAGATGTCAGTGTTTTGACATCCGTGGCCATTCAGTTGGTGTCAGGTGGTCACAGGTGAACCTGTGACAACTCTATGCGTGGCCTGTTGGCGAGCTGATTGGGACGCCCATGTGGAAAGCGCCTAAGGAGAAAGTCATGGTTGTTCCAGAGTCTCCATAGGAGGAGAGATGATCCCAGAATAAAGTACATCATAATAGGGCCCTCAATACACATAAAGAAACCTGTAATTTGGCCCTCAACCACAACCATTATTGTAGGCCTGAGCTGACTTACCTTCAGTCTCATTTATCAAAGTGTCTAAAATTCCATATGTGTGCTTCCCAAGAGCCAAAAGTTATAGAAATACTGTAAAAAGAAACGATGCTTTAAATTTCTAGTAAATCGCATAATACCCAATGGGTGTAGATACTAAAATGCGGTAGCAGTAAAATCTGCTAGATAATGTCAAATGCTGGAGTTTTGATATAACCAGTGAAAGCAACCCAGCCATTCCCAGTAGAAAAATCTGCAGTCCGTCTACTGTAGACATAACCAGGACATCATAAACATTTTTAACCTATTTTAGGCTTGGATGCTGATTAAATCTGAAAGTCTGTTCAAGGCTCATAGTTCTGTCATGACTCATGGCTTGATTTTGGTTGATAAAAGATTTCCATTTACCACTTAACCTGTA